CCATAGTCCCCTCCCCCCTCTTCCAGCCCCCCCCACCCCCTACTTACCTGGCATAGAACCCAGGTCCCAGTCACTGCAACCTGCACTACCCATATAAGGCAGGCAGTGTGCTTCAGTACCGGGGAAACGGCCAGCCATAGAGATGCTCTGGCTGGCTACCAGAGTGTCTCTATGAAGGACCAAGCCTCTGGTTGGCTCTGGGCACTGTCCGGGACCGTGCCCTGCCCCTCCTTTTTCTCCCAGGGTATTTTTAGATACCTACATATCCAGGTGTCAAATTTTGCCCCTGCACTACAAATATGCAGTGCAGGGAATGTTTTTTGTTCCTGTGCATGCGTCTTGCAGCATCTCAAAGGGGCTTGAGACACAGCAAGAGGCACGTGCATGCTCATGTGGACACGCCCCAGTAAACTTTAGCACAGCCCGTTTCCTCCTCACCTTACCCCAAGACTGAGGGGGACACTGCATAGTGACCTTTAGTGGTAAAGCAAACCAGTCTGGGAGCTAAAGTGCACCACCAAAACTCTCTGCATTTAGCAACCTCTCTAGATAAATTCCCTTTGCATTTTTCACCATCTGGTTTTGTCTCCACCACAAGACACACAACAGGACTAGGTCTTTTCTAGTCATTAGTAAATAGAATTACTTGTCATATGTCCCAGCATTTTAGGGCTGTTTGCTTTCAGACTGCCAGTGGGTGACCGACACTAAAGTCAGTGTGAAACAGCAATTAGATCAGGCTCTGTTAGTAAAAGCTACAAGGATCTGGAATGATTTGACAGTGACAAAGGTAGCTAGTTAACTCTGATATTCAAGCAGCTGTGTGATGTGCACACACAGCTGGGAGAGCAAATATGCATTATACACATGCAATTGCAGACAGACAAGGTCCATGTCACAGAGCTCTGATCCAGATCCAAACTTTATCAAGTTTAGAGCATTTGCATAGCAAGTTGGAATTGGCTTACCACAGAGACAAGTGTCACACGCAAAATTCAGAGCCAGGTACGATGTTCTGCAGAGGGACCAGTGTACTTGGAATCAGTGCTGTGGTTTGGATACTACTTATTCATCTCCTACTTACTGGGATCCATTGCAATGTCAGATCATGGCATTTCAGATTTCAAGTAGTTACTGACCTGCCTATGTAAATTGATGAATTTATGAGGGTCTCCATCTGCCCAGGGGGGAAGCTGTATATCTCCCATCACAGTTCCATCCTGCATGCTGCCTACAACATCCACAAAGGGAAAATAAGACACAAGAATCAGCTGGAGAAATTATAGTTTAGTTTCCATTTCTGATTTCTGTTTCAACAAGGCAAGCCTCAGGCCTGAAAAATTACAGTTAGTTTTAGTACCACTGCAGTTCTGGGTCCTGCCTCAGATATAGACCAGATCCCCTAAAATACTGGAGGAAGCTATTTCTCTTGGGATTCCCAATCTAGTTTAGTAGATCCATAGTGATTAAACAGCAGAGAGGACATAAGAATAAAGGTGCAAACTAACATCAAGAACTGAATCTTCAGAAGTTCCCCCACTATTAGTTATTACCACAATAAAAAATGTACATGTTCCTAGAATGAACTCCATTCCAGCCCTGACTGCAAACACAAGCCAAGCAAACCCAGAGGTAGTGTAGGTAAGATATGCTAGTTTCTGTAACCAGCAGCACGCAAGGGAGTAATGCAGCAAGCCTTACTTCTGATCAGTTTTGACAGCTCGGCTTCAGTGACCAGATACAATAACCATTTACAACTGGGCATGGCCTTTGTTATGAGTTTGAAGAAGGGCTTGAACTCACATAAACACTAACTATAGTAGCACTGTACCTTATGTCTCTCTCATAGCTGGGCTTTAATCACAAAACCTAAACTGAGGCCAAGGCCCTGGCTGCAAATGCTGCTGAGGGTGGGAGGCTACTTCAGCCCTTGTTATATATAGGGTTAACAAAAAGGGTATAAATGCAAAGTTTAGATCCATGTTCTGGCAGACAAGGTTCTTTGGGTAGATGTGGTATCTTTTATTAGACCAACTAAATATTTGGAAAAATAATTATTTAGTTATTTGTCTGTGCGCTCACATGCACGTGACCAGCATACAGCCAGGCAGGGTGGTGAGAGCTGCCCCAGCAGCTGGATGCAGGTAAATGTATAGGGAGTTGGGGTTGGAGGTTCAGGGCTTGGGGACTATCTGTGTGTGTGTGTTTGTGCGCACGTGAGTGTGTATGTGTGCGCGCGTGTGTGTGTGCGCGCACACGCATGTGTGGAGGGGATGGGTGTGTGAGGCGGGGGCAGGTGCCTTCCAGTACTAGAGGAAGGGAGCCAGACACTGAGGCTGCATCACAGCAGGGGAGGCAAGGGGGGAAGGCATCTGCCCCTCCAGCAGGGGTGGGGGGGCAGGCCTTTCAGGGTGGCAGAGTTGCATGGCTGGGCTGGCAGCACCAGGGCTGGTGCTCGTACCCTGTGAGGCGCCTGGGAGACGTTGCGCAGTAGGCAGGTGGGGCCATGACCAGGCTGCCTGGCACAGCACAGGAACCCCAGCCCAGGGCATGCAGGGTGCCACAGGCCTCCTCTCCTCCTCCCTCCAGCCCATGCCAGGGGCAGACTTGCTCCAGTGCTGCCTGAATGAGCCAGAGCTGCTGCACACGCCGTGCTCTGCCCTGAGCAGGATGGGGGCAACTGGGGGCCCTCTCCAGCAGGGCTGGGGGGCAGGGGGCTGTGGGTCAGGACTGGCCATTGATCTTTAGAAATGGGTCCTATCCATATTGTCTCAGTACAAAAAAGGTCGAGAACCACTGTTCTAGATCTAGGGCTTAGCTCCAAACTAGCAAAGTACAATGCTGAAATGGGAGATTGAAACTAAACCTCCTTGCCATTGGGATACTGGGGTCATGTTTCAAACTGCACGGCTAGGAGCCACATCAGCCAAGGAACCTTAACACATTGAGATTCTGTCTCACAGCACAACGCTAGCAGGAGTGCTCTTGCTCCGTTCGAGACTTACCAAATTCAAAATTATTAGAGTTGGTTAAAAACTCAGGCAAGTAGAAGAATTCAGGGATGAGCTCCCTGACATCACTCATGTTTTCTCGTGATGCTGAGTCCCACGTGTTCTTCACACTGTGAAACATCCGGTCTGCAACATCAAAGCCTCCACCCTGCATTGGAGAGAGAAACACAGAGGGGGAGTGTCCAGTCTCAGAATCAAAGAAATGTAGGACTGGATGGGACCTTCACATGTCATTTAATGTAACCCCGTTTGAAACAGGATCATCCCTACTCAAACCATCCTATACAAAGCCATTGTCTAACCTTTTAGCAAGACTACACATTCAACCCTGACACAACCACAAGACATAACGCCCTAACCTGCCACAGGTAAAGCAGGGGAATCACAGTGGCCAATGTCCTGCTGCTGCAAGGACTGTTAAAATATGCTTGAGTGATCCAAAGAAGAGGGCCATCAACCTCACCCCCTGCCCCCCCAGCCCAGCTAAACAGGAAGGCAAAAACCTCGACAGTCCATATCACCAAAGGCCTCCACAGTCCATTGGTGGTGGAATCTCCATCCTTGGATGTTTTTAAGATCCAGCTAGACAAAACTTTGGCTGGGATGAACTAGTTGGGGATGGTCCTGCTTTGAGCAGGGTGTTGGACTAGATGACCTCCTGAGGTCCCTTCCAACCCTAGTTTTCTATGATTCTATATCAATATGATCAAAGGATAAATTTGTTCTTGACCCAGATATGGTGATCAGTCCAACCCAGAGCAGAAGGGCAAGACCCTGTAACCAGAAACCTCCAGGTTTAAATCCCAGTAGGAGCACTGGCACACACTAGTCAAAATCCCCAGACTTGGCTACAGCCAGAACCCACTGCTTCTGAGGAAGGGGAAAAAAACCTCCAGAACACGTGCATCAGCAGGACAGGAAAATAATTCTTTTCTGGCCCCAAGTGCAACCAGCAAAGCCCAGAAACATGGGAATGACCATAGAAGAGCATAAATATAGCTGCTCCTAGATCACCCCTGACCAATGCTTGTCCAACCTCTTCTTGAACATCTCCAGTGATGGACCTTCCATAACTTTCTTATGCAGTCAAAAGTCCACAAGTTTCTTAGGCTCCAATATGGCACCCAGGAGCAATAAACTACAGTGACATGAATTGCACATGTAGATGCACCCACTGTCTGCTAAATTCAGGCTGATAACAAAGACTATTTTGATGATGATAATGATCACTCATGTCTTTCATCCCAAAACACTTTTAAATCAATGGGAACAACCTTGGTGCACTGATTTAGGCCTGACTGAGGAAAGCAGTTAAGCACATCCTTGCAAAGAATTCTTTTTAGGAAAGCAAATAAACCCATGATTAATTTTATGGATATTAAACACTTGCTTAAGTGCCCTTCATGAATAGGGGTGTACTTTCATGTTTTAGGGGTGTACTATTTTAGCCAATTTTGAATTTTAAACATCATTGCAGAACAACAAGAAAGATTTTTTACCACCCTGCCTGCCATCTGACACCTCCAGGGAAGGAATTTTACCTGATCTACAGATCAAATAGCTACTCAGCACAGCTCACAAAGACACTCTCACGGACCCAGGGGGACAGCCTTCCACCTTCAGCTCCCTCTGTGCAAAAATGAAGTTTATTTCCTACCTATGGGGACTTTTTACCATCTTGTACCATCTATACCTTTCCCAGAACCTGATGAAGGGACTTTGATCCCAAACGCTTGCAGAAAAGGACAATTTTTCTTGCGATTTTCCAGATGGTCTAATAAAAGGTATCATTCTGGAACCAAGAGTTCTAGTTTTTTTGTATGTCTTCGTGAATAAGGAAGCTTTCCTTATTTAGAACCTTGGAAAAAGCATCTCAATGATAGGGACATTTGCCTAGGATTGGGCCCATGATATATTTTAGGTGATATTTTCAATGTGTCTCTATGATATAGGAGCTCGAGTCTCAGCAAATTCCACTGGGACTTACGTTCCTAAGACTGTTTGCCATTTGCAAAAATCCACCCTTATATTTAGGAAGAGGTCACTACCCCCCACCACTGACACAAATTTACTTCTAGAACAATGTAACTAGTACTTACCAGGGTTAAGCTATTTGATCTGATAGCTTGGACAGGAAAGTGAGATATTCATGTCTCATTAAAACTTCAAGGGAAAAATTAGGCTGGCAGAATGTGACTTATCCCATTAGTATCTGGACAGCCTAGAGGTCTTCTGCCTCTCCTGCACGCTTGTGAGTAGTAACATAGAGTCACTGTAGCTCATGGCTCACATTGGATTCTATAGGACAACTCTACTTTCTAGTCAAAACCCTGAACACTAGGCTGGGGTATTGGTTCATAGCTAGTTACAGGGGTCAGAAAAAGTTGATGGTCCACCTGGGATTAGTGGCCCATTGGGCGCATATGGTTAATTTTCTATAGCAAACAGTGCCCCAGCCAGCCCCCCCACTGCCCAACACCAACACCTGGAGCCCAGGGCTGACCCCCATGTCCCTGCCAGCCCAGGCCTACTCTGTCCTGGCTCAAATTGCTACTGTCCCAGGTGCACATGTAGACACTGCGCCCAGGAACATTTTACTCAGACTCAAACTGCTTCAGAGTTTATTGCTTTGCCTTAATTTCACACGTAGATGCACCCATTATATACCAATTAAGCACAAATGCTCCTGATCTTTTGCTTGGGATCTTTGCTAATTCCATAACCTGGTCTAGGATATTTCTCCAATAATGCTGCAGGACATCATACAATTTTTCTGAGTCCTGGATAATCCAGGTTCTCTTTGTGTGCTGGATAAGGTTATGGGAGACAGATCAAAAGCATCCCTCTATAAAGCAGAAAACTAGCTGATACATACATACCTATCCATTCCTACTATCCAGGACTCTAACTTATTATTAGTTCTCACATTTTTCAGATGTCAGGAATAGTAGGACAATTAACAAAGACTTCCAATCCAGCTACTGCATTCCAAGATGCTTTCTACAAAGATAGATCGTGACTCCAGGTACAGTATACTAGAACTATATATATATATACAGTATACAAGAACTATATATATATATATATATATATATATATATATATCAGATCTAAGTCTCACTAGCCTATGATAGGCCCTTAACCCTTGCCTGCTGGGAGATCGTACCCAATGAAAGATGGCACTGACTGCTAGCTTGGGAAAAACAATTTCAGCAGGGGATACATTTTGAACTGTATTCTCTGGGCAAGCCAGATCATTAGGCTTTTCCAAAGAAAATGCTGTCACAGAGTGGATCTACATAAGATGCTTTACTGTGGCGTTCACTAAGTAGTTCTGCAGTAAAGCATCACCATCTACACATGCATCCCTATTAGGCCAGAGTAAATGAATTAGGTCTGCCATAGGCTAGTACTGTTTTGGACAAGTACTGTCTTATGGTAGAATTATTTGCTCTGCCATAACACATGTGTAGACAGTGACCAGGGCTGGCTGGGGCATGAGGGTACTACAGTACAGGGCTAGCCCCACACTGTAGCACCCTCATGCCCCAGCCAGCCTATCTGCAGCAAGCTGAGCCAGAGGGAAGCAGCTCTGGCCTGGCAAGTTGACCCCCTACCAGCTGGGGCTTCTCTGACACAGTTCAACATGCTGTGGTCCTGGGCAATGGATGTAAATGCTGCGCCTGGGAGCAGTTCGCACTGGAGTTTATTGCGTCTTGTTAATATCACATATAGATACTCTCAAAGGGATTTAATTACATCTTAGTTTTTATGTAGATTTGCTCATGGGAGTCATTTGTTTCATAATATGAGCAGCTTCCCAAGATGGATTTAAACACAAGAGTTCAAAGGCCAGTTAAGACTGAATCTGACCTACAGAAAAGAAGCCAAGGTAAACTTCCACTGACTCAAATCTTTTGTGACTAATTTATAGAGAGCTGGAATTCCCCATCATGGTTGAGCAGTCTACTTGCTTTGAATTGGCAAAGACATATGCTTGCACAAAAGGCAGCACATCTGCATGTAGGGTATTCAGGTTCTGTTTGACTGACTTCTTGATAAGACTTCAGCTCCTATATTCTCTACATGTGCCATGTCAGGTGCCAGATCAAAAGTGAATCATCTCTTTGGCATTACTTACAAACAACTGGGGCTTTACCATTCAGTTGTCATGTCTACACGAGACGCTGACTGCGCAGTTACTGTACAGTCATTTAGTACTCACACACACAAGTACTAAATGACTGTGCAGTAACCAGTGTTACTGCATAGTAGCATCCCCAAATGGCTTTTTGGTGACACTGACTGCACAGTAGCATCACATCATGCTTCATGCCATGTGATACAACTGCACAACAGTAACAAGCTACTGCGCAGTCAGTATCTTATGTAGATGCGGCCAGTATGCTATATACAAAAGTAACAGAGAAGCATCTATGTAAAAGTGGGAGCCTACCCTCTTCTGGGCAAATTCTACATTTAAGCAAACAGGTACAAGATAATGCAAGTCAATGGAGCTTAGATATGGAGTTAGTTGGAAGATCTCCTGTGCTCACAGGTCAACACTGGGCCACTCCCATGTTGATCGGGCATTTGTCATTACAAATGGAAGAATTCAGCTACAGTGTTCCCAAAGCAGAATTGGATTAGGATTTTGGCCCAGCCTCAACCTTAATTCACCACACCAACAGTAATTTCTAGTTCATTTCCTTATATTTTATTCTCACTTTCTCCATCACACTGAAAATTGTGGCACCTGTCCACAGCCACTCAAGGGATCACAAATGAACACGTGACTTAATCTCATTGGGAATGAATCTGACGCACAAGGTCATTTTGGGCTTGGTCATTATCAGGCAGGGACCTTTAAAGTCAAATAGAAATTGAAATTAAAACAGGAGGAGGAGGACAATAAATAAATCAACAGCTAACAAGTACCTCATTGAAGCATATTAAAGGGCTTTGTGTATTTAATCTGCACACAGAGCACTGTGTCTTGTTGTGATTGATGCTTTTTCATCTTTTTTGTAGTTTTTATGAGAGCTGATGGTAATCTCCTGAGAAACAATATGATTTGTAATAAAAAGATTACCTGTATTAAATAAAAATAATATATACATAGGAAATGCTGTTAGTGCAACAAATCTGGTTAAAGATATTACCACTACGAAAAAATGTGATTTTTTCCCTGGCTGTCTAATTCATTTTAGGGAAAAGTAATATCTTTAAAAGTTAAGCCTGTATTATTTATAAAGGAAGCAATAACTGATTTTCCCATTTCTTATATTAATAAATTTATTTGCATATATTTATATCAGAATTAATGAGTTTTCTCTCTCTCTTGGAATGCAGAAACTGCACTGAAAGGAGAAAAGAGAATCTGGAATTGCTTTATGCCTTTAGACTGCAAGTCAACATAAACTCTTACGGCCTTTCAATTGGCTGCATGAAGTAAGGCCCATCGTTTTCTTCCTTTCAGTAAAGCCATCTCAGTAATCAGGGGCAAACGGTAAACATAAATACCTTTAAGGATACCATAGAGTCAAATGTACGCAAAGCAGTTGGGCAAAGTGTTCACCGGGAAAAGTTGGAACCATTCTTTGTTCCAATAAGCACTGACTCTGGAAGTACTGAGTATATTTCACTGCTTAAAGGGTTGACAGTGCATAGCACTGGATCCTGATAGAGAAGCACCTGACTTTTGGCTTGAAATGATTGCACCAGACACTTCCTCTGGTCAGAGAGCTGAAGTGACTCCTCTGAAGTGCACAGCACAACTATATCTTTCTATAAACACAGATCTCCATAACCACATCAAAGGGGTAAAAACCAAGGAGGCAGAATGACATTTAAGCAGAAAAACAAATGGGGATCAATTGGCTATTGATAAATTTAGGACGCTAGTTAGAATAAAGTTTTTAACCATGAGAGCCTTCCAACTCAAGCTGTGGGGACAAAAGGCCTAAAGCAGAAAGGAAAGAATCTAACTCCCAGAAAAGGGATACAGTCACTAGGGCTGTGCAAAGCTTCAGTCCTTGATTCGATTCGGCGGAGATTCGGCCCAATTCAGTGGCCAAACCTCCAAATCAGAATCAAATCAGAGGACCCTTTAATCTCTCTGAATCAAACTGGAACCCTCCAAATCAATTCGGAGAGATTTGGAGATTCGGACGTAGAGACAGCCTTAACTGCTTTTTCTACATACCTCTAGGTAGCAGGGGCTTGTGAGTGCTGCAATGCCGGGGCACATGGAGTGTCCCACAGAAGCACGGGGGGCTCCCCAGCAGCAGACCCAGACATGGACTGGAACTACTTCCGGTCCACTTCCGGGTTTGCCTCCAAGCATGTGGAGGGCCCCCCACACTCCTGTGGGATGCTCCATGCACCCCAGCATTGCAGGGATCACGAGCCACACCTGCTACCTCAAGGTATGTAGAAAAAACTTTTAAAGCTGTGTCTATGTCCAAATCGCCTGAATCTGCATCAAATCTTCAGATTTGGATTTGGATGAATCTAACTAGGGACAGTGATCAGAATCAACTAATCGAATCACTGTCCCTGATTCAGGCCGAATCCAAATCTGAATCGAATAGGGGCTGCTTCACACACCCCAAACAGTCACCCTGACAGCAGGATGAACAGGTCAGGAAAGAGCACTGCCAGACAATGTGTAAGGACACTTCTGCAAATATGGAGTGAATCAATTCAACAGCATGGGCTATTTAGGCCTGTGGGTCTCCTGACTACACCTCAGAGTTAGCAGATATATATTACAGGACCACATGTTACAGGACCAGGTAAGGGAAGGACAGCACCAGCTCAGATGCATGAGTATCATTGCAGGAGCAAAGAAATAATATAACCAAAGGAAACCAAAGGATGGGTCCATTCAGTGGACCTGTCTCAAGGAAATACTTAAGAGTACTTCACTAGGTCTGAGAAGCTTTTTAAAACAGAAATACTAATCACTTGCTAATCATACAAGAATGTGGCCAAGCAGCAGACATAGACTGCTGATTTGCTATGGATAAATGTGTCTCAGCAATCTGGCGTAGCATTTGTGATTCACCGTAGCAATAACCAGTGAAACACTACTGAAAGCTAATGCATACAGCAGACATCTATTGCTGCTGCTCATTACAGCTGTGTACAGACATTTATGGACGTTTGGAGGAGGTTAGAATGTGATAAAAATGGCCACCTGATCTAACGTAGTTTGCTTAAGCGCCGACCTTACACTTAGATACCTAGTTAAGTCAATCTAAGTGTGAGCTGTACAGAAGTTCCAAGAAGGTTAGACTGACCTGAAAATGGATGACCCAACCTAAGTTAGCCCTACCTCTGAGGTACTCTAAATTAGATTGGACTGACCATTTTTAGACCAATCCAAGTGTCCCAAACTTCTGTACATTTACCAGTGCAGCCCTGAGGCTGGAAAAGCACAGCCACTGGCCCCTGCCCTAGGGCTGTAATTTTCCTACCCATCCTCCTGGCACCAGGCTATTTTTAGCTCTTCCCACCACACCAAACCCTCCATCCAGCTCCTGGTGCCAGTTTGCCAATGCCAGGAGCTGAGGAAGTCAGTTGGGGTGGAGATGGGGGCAGGAGGGATGTAGCTTCACCAGGGGGAGTTATTTGTATCAAGGTGGGGGAAGGGTTAAATGGAAAAAAATAGCCCCTGGTCCCTGGAGGTGTTGTAAAGAGCCCCCAATCCCTCCCTGCTGTCCCCATTCTCCCTACAGAACCCCTGATCCCCCCGAGCCTGCTTGCCCCCCCTCCCTGAGTCCCTCAACCTCCACACTACCCACCCCCCAGGCCAACTTACCTTATATTGGATGGTGTAACAAAAGGGGCCCAAGAGACCCCATGAGCAACCCTAAGAACTGCGAATGGTCTGAGCAAGCCCACAACAAAACAAGAAACTTATCTCTGGGGCAGGAAGTGGCAGGGTTGTGACGATATACAGCACTGCCACCATGGTTTAAGAGCCAGTTGTCAATCAAGCTGGGTGGTGCCAGGCTGATGACATCAGCCCCCGACGCCACTGTTGAAGATTTAAGACACCTGGAGTGCTGGGGAGGGAGGAGGAGAGCCTGCCTCTGCTCTATAGCTACAGCAGAGGCAGCGGCAGGCACAGGACACCAAGTTAGTGAGGTGTCAGAGCCCCAGGGCTCAATCTATATGGAGCAGAATACACTTTGTGCTCCGGAGGCTAGAGAGTAAAGCCTCAATTAATGAGAAAATCCAGCAACTTTAGGGAGATGAGAGAGTTGTTGACAGGCTAATAAGGGCACTAGCCAGAACAGAGGCAACCCTCCAGAAAATAGGTTCCACTTTGTTTCTTTGTTCTTTTCTTCTCTTTCTTCTTTTTTTCATTGATTTCTTTTGAGTTTTGTTGAAGAGCAGTTAAGATCAGGACATACCAGAGTCCCAAAGTCAGGGCTTGTTGGCAAGAGACAAGCTAACAATCCGGATAAGGCTAGGAAGCACCTTCAGGATTGCCTTAGGTCAAGAGCTGGATCAGATTGGAATCCCACATCAGTTCCCACTGACTCAACATCGACGGCTGGCATGTGGCTGGGGGTGTAAGAGAGGTGGAGCCCCTTTGTCAAGTGCTCTCAGATCCGTGAGTACCCCAAGTGGGACCCTTGTATTCCCAACACTGAACCCCTCCTATTCAATTAGTTATCATCAAAGTCATGGCAGGAAAGTCGAGGGGAGGCCTAACTTGGTGGAGACTCAAGAAAATTCCTCTCTTGGATAATTGAGAGTGTTACAGATGGCTATTTTCAACTTGATCTAACATCCCCTTAATCTCCCCAAATGTCTATATATAACCTGTATGACATGTTGGAAAACATCCATCATTAAGGTGCAGGGATGCTGAATACATGAGATGAGGAGGCTGCTGGAGCATGCTAATTAGCATGCTTCAGAAGACTCTACTAATTGAGTAATGTAATTACAGCCTACCCCCGGAAGCAAGGAAGCTGGTGGCGGATTCAGTGGTGGGGGGAGGTGCTGAGCAGCTGCACACACAAGATTTGGGGATGGATTCAGCAGCAGGGGTGCCGAGCAGCCGAACATGAAGCCAGAGGCAGCATGGAGTCACCTCAGCCATTCCGCACAGCCCTGCGGGGCCCCCCAAAGCGTGGGACCCAGGGTGATCACCCCGATTCACACCCCCAGGGATGGCTCTGGTGGAAAAGCACCAGGAACAACACTCCATACTTTTGTGATTGGTCATACTCTAAGCCCTCTGCTCCTACAGCATATTCCACTGTCCTGGAAGACAGTTTAGAACATGAATATGCCAAAGAGTTACTGCTCATATTCCCAGGCCTTCACACAAAGTGCCCCTGTGGTATGATCCAGCTCCCCTAGAAATTTTGCCCTGGCTGTCAGTGGGAGCAGGATGGGGGCTTCCCATATCTGGATATGCAGGAATTTCAAAAGACGTAGACTGTTTACAGACATGTTAAACCCCCCCACAAAACTGTGCTTTACTTTAAGCTTGGTGCACCCCTGCGCTAAGTGCAGCAAATGCTCAGAAGAGGCAACACATTAGTTGGCCCTGGTTTGCCCAATGTCTGTATAGTTTGGGCACTTTGGTTGGACTTTCTGGCACTTTTATCTAATAGCTGATTGAATCAGCTTTAGCTAAAAGAGCCAAAAAGTCCTGCTGAATGCTGAAGTGCCTGTTTTATACAGATGATGAGGAACTGGTTTGAAATAACGTGCTTCCTCTGGTAATGGTAAAGCACCATTTTTTGTTGTTTTTTTCATGTCTGCCAGCACACTTGATACCTAGTTTATTAGCCAGTTGTTTGCGTCTTATGTGGCTTATAACAACTCTAAGTATTGCATTTGAGAAAGGGTAGACGACTTGTCCTTTTACCTGCAAGGAACAGAATGTTTGTGTAAATGGCTCCATTCGGACCAAGTAAGATGCCACTATAATCGCAGATGAATAGTGGGTACAGTAGTGACATCGGGCCAACAGGTCTCCTGTAAATCAGACACAATCAGTTTCAAATGATGCCATCTGAAAATTACCATTTCTCTATTTAAGAAGCTAAGGTTTTCAAAATAAGACAGACATGTGCTAGGACCTGTGTGCAAAAGCTTATTTAGTAGGTTGGATGTAGGCACAAGTAGCTAGGTATGCTGTTATCTGGTCACATCTGTGCAGTCACCCACTACATTTTACATGACGTTCAAAATACACGTGAGTGCATGAGTCTGGAATGAACTACAACAGAAGAGGCCCTAATGACCATCCATTCGGTCCTTCAACATTCTTAGAGGAAAATAACTTCATTTTGTTTCATTCCCAAGGCATACCCCCAACAACAATTTGTCACATGACCACAGAATTCTAGCTGGGACCCCTAAAAATGATACACCACATGGTCATAGATGGACTGGATAGGATGATGCAAATGTCACAATGGCAACTGCTTTGACATTAATGGAGACAGATCCCAGATGCTTGCTTCCTTCCCTCACCCCCAAGCCTCTCCAGATATTACTCTCTAATATCCTAAGCTTTCCAGACAACCCTCCTGTTAATTCAAGAAAAGCCCTGTTCACTCAGGGCCAAATAGCTTCACTCTCCCTGCCCCCGGCACCAAAGCTTTAAGCCAGGTTTCCTACAATGAATTTGTGACAGTAACTGGCCTCTGTAGCTGGGTGCCCCTACCATGTCACACTGGCCTGGGGGAGGGAGGACCTAGGCATGCAGGACACATTGCTAAGGTAGAAAACAATAGGAGAGCATGGAATGAGGATCTCTTACAATCTTGAACTGCCTCCCCAGATGCCAGAGCTCTCCCTCCTGTCTGGCCCTGTGCTTAAAAACAACCAGTCATCATGTGACTTCTCCCTAGGACTTTATCATTTTCCAAAGGGTTCACTGGAATCTGGACATTCACACTCCATAAGCCTCCTAAAACACTCACCCTCACTCTTCTCCACCTCGTTGTAGCGCTGGAGGAATTTCCGTTTCCTCTCTAAGGTCTGTGCTCCCATGGGCTTCGAAAGGTCTCGGAAGGTCCGGGGGTTAGTAAGGTTCAATGTCTGGAAGGTGAAGCAAATGTTGGAAGCTGGCAGGTCTAGAATCTCCTGGAACCCCTTCCACCAGCCCCAGGTCAACAAACTCACTGACACAGGCTGCTTAAGGAGCTTCACCTACACAAGTGGCCAGACTCTACAGCATCATTCCTAGGCTAGAGGCATGGTCTGAAGAGTAGCCCCTTGTCAGTATGGAAAGCCTCCTGTTTCAACCTAGGGAACTGCACCTGCTTTCCTCGCAAACTAGAAGCATGGAAGTGGCCCTGGGTTTGAGGTCTGCCTTGTGACATCACTCATTTACCAGCTGGTTACTGGAGCAATGCCAGTATCTGCTGAGTGACTGCCTTTCTGGCCAGAAGTTCAATATCACTAAGACAGAGGAAAGGAATCTTAGGAGCAAAGTAGAGGAAGGCAAGTAACTCTAGAAGCACAGTGTGTACAAACTGCCTCCCACATACACTGGCATGGCTTACATAAGGGCCCAAGAAGTTCAGCACAGAGGCAGCTGCTTCATACCCAATCTGAGGGCAGAGAGGAGGTGGGGGACATGACCATGTCACTGGTCTGCACCTGGCTGTAGAGTAGAACTGCACCATAGGGGAGCAGGCTGTGCTTCTAAGGTACACATATATTAGTAGCTGCACTTCCACATCCTGCATTACCGAGACTGAAAGCTTCCCCATGCTCCCAGCACACTAACACTAATGCAGGGCTGCTCTGTAAAGACACAATTCAGACATTATCATCACTAAAGAAGCTTTTCAAAAAGAACAGGAACAGCAGCTGAGAGCCAAGCACTCACCTGTGAGTGGTAGTCAGCAAGGACCCAAGGGAACACTGGGTACTGCATGTAGTCATTGTAGCTCCGTCCAGCCAGAGTGTTCAGGTACATGAGGTAGTCAAAGTTACTGATTTCTCTCTTCTGCCATGGTAGAGAAACACAGATTGAAAATATTTAGCTCAGTGGTTCTCAACCTTTTAAGTCAGGGCACCCTGCTCTACTTTTCTAAATATGGTGGTACCCCCAACTGAGAGCCATTGTTAGTGCTACCTCCATTTACCTCAATGCTTCTAAACCAGGTGCTGCTGCCTCCAGATAAAAGTGCCCCACACACTTGCTGCACTGTCAGACAGATCTTGGAGAGAATCATCAAGGAGCACATCTGTGGGGGGCCTGCAGGGGAGATCATGCTCAGGGGCAATCAGCTTGGGTTCATCAAAGGCAGGTCCTGCCTAACCAACCTGATTGCTTTTTATGACCAAGTAACTAAATCCTTGGATGATGGTGTTGCCATTGACGTAGTCTTTCTAGACTTTAAGAAGGCCTTTCACACTGTCTCTCACCCCATCCTCATCAATAAATTAAGCAACTGTGGCATTGATGCCTACACAGTCTGATGGGTAAAAAATTGGCTGATGGGGCGCACCCAGAGAGTAGTGGTGGGTGGGTTGTACTCAACCTGGTGAGATTTGAGCAGTGGGGTACCCCAGGGCTCGGTCCTCAGGCCCGCACTGTTTCACATCTTCATCAGCGACTTGGACGAGGGGGTGGAAAGCATGCTGTCGAAGTTTGCTGATGACACTAAGATGTGGGGCGAGGTGGACACACTTGAAGGGAGAGAGAGGCTGCAACTAGATTTAGACAGACTACAAAAGTGGGCAGACGAGAATAGGATGGGGTTCAATGTAGACAAATGCAGGGTGCTGCACCTTGGGAGAAGGAATCCACAGCATACATACAGGCTGGGGAGTTCCCCTCTTGAAAGCACAGAGGCGGAAAGGGATCTTGGAGTCATTATTGACTCCAAGATGAACATGAGCCGCCAATGCCAGACCGCAGCCAGCAAGGCCAGCCATACTTTGTCATGCATCCAAAGGTGCATCTCAAGCCAGTCCAGAGAGGTGATACTCCCCCTCTATGCAACTTTGGTCAGGTCACAGTTGGAGTACTGAGTCCAGTTCTGGGCGCCGCACTTTAAAAAGGATGTGGCCAGCCTGGAGAGGGTTCAGAGGAGGGCCACCCACTTGGTGAGAGGGCAGCAGGACAGGCCCTACGAGAAGAGACTGAGGGACCTGAACCTGTTCAGCCTCAGCAATAGGAGGCTGAGGGGGGACCTGGTGGCTGCCTACAGACTCATCAGGGGAGATCAACAGCAAATGGGTACAGCCCTTTTCTCCCCAGCACCACCTGGGCTGACAAGGAACAATGGTAATAAGCTGATGGAGAACAGGTTTAGGTTAGAGATCAGAAGGCAATATTTTACAGGTAGGGTGGCCAAAATCTGGAACCAACTTCCCAGGGAAGTGGTCCTCGCCCCTACCTTAGGCAAATTCAAGAGGAGGTTGGATGATCACCTGTCTGGGGTCTTGTGAACCCAGCATTCATTCCTGCCTGTGGCAGGGGATCGGGCTAGATGATCTGATCGGGTCCCTCCTGACCCTAGCTACTATGATACTATACTATGATACTATGACACTAATAATTGTCCATGAGCTGGATTATGAGCCATCACAAATGGCAGCTGCTTTTAAACTATGGAAGCACTGACAAAATTGCAAGGAGCCCCTGCTCAACTGAGCTACAGTATTATAGTGTAATTAATCAGTACCACTCACTATTCAAATCAGCAAAGATCAGAGCAGTCTGCTGCACCTGTACAATGGTCAGTGAACCCATGCAAAAGAGTCTTCCTATTGATTTACCTTTGGAACTGGTCATTTGCACCTTGTCTGGAACCAGTCTTTCATGCTATATTTATATAATGGAGCACTGTAATGCTTGTGCCTGGTTTAAAGGAGAGCCACATGCAGGCTGTCATTTGTTTTTATCTGCGTGATGTAGGATCCAGGAAAACAGCCTGAGGCAAGGTGTTGGGACTCAGTCCAATGGGAACTAAACACGTGAGCCATCCCGTTTCAAACACTGGGCAGCACCAAAAGCTTTGGAGAAGGCAGAAGGACATCTACAATAACCATATGCATAATCATTTGCACTCCCTCTGCCTGAAAGAGCTTCTCCATCATCACCCCCAATACCATATTTTCTAACATAACACATGCCCCCAACTAAGACAAGCACCTTGTTTTCGGGAAGGCAGCATGAGAAAAAAATATTTTTCCAGAGTTATGTCTGCATAGAACAGGGACAAAGCTCATTCCCTTTCTAAAAACCTAAAACCCTAGCTGCTACTAAAGACTGGTTTCTACAGGTGAATATAGGGTTTTGAAAAGAGCTAAAAATATTCTGAAAGGTTCTGAAATAACTGAAGAACATCCAGAAGTAGCTAGCAGACAGCAAAATTGCCCGAAAAAAAAGTTTGCTTGATTAATAGAACATGAAGAACATTAAAAAGGAGAGATGACCACTAATACCTTGTGGAGTGAAGAACAATGAGCCATTAAGTCAAGTGGCTCCCTCAGCTGCCTGAATAAAAATGCCACTCCTCCCACCCCAACATGCCACGTCCCATACAGAAACTGTCTATGCCACTTGCAGCACACATGCTGCAGTTTGGCCATCCTTGCCTCGGAGAGTTAAACATAAATGTTTCTTCATTTACCTGCCACTTCTGGCGCATTGTCTTTTCCCCCCCAGAGATTTTCCTGCACAAAACAAAGATTTTATTGTAACCATGCAACTTCCAAACTATTAAAATAAATACAGTAATACTTTTTAATATTTAAATATTATTATATTTAATTATATAATTATATTTATTGTTTTATTTTAATACTTTTTAATATTTAAATATAACATTTTCATATGCAAGATGAACATTTCATTAATAACCCAGCATCCCAAAAACAAAACAAGAGAACTCCAGAGCCTACCAGAATATCAAGGTTGTAAACAAACATTCTAGCATTAGTGACCACTACTGGTTAGTGCTGTTGTAGGGTGGGAGTGTCAGCACTCGTTTCAATGGGAGCTGGTCTCCTGTATGAGAACTGGAGTGCTACTAAAAAATAGCAGTAAGGTTGTTTTACTGTTTTCATTCCAAGCCCCCTGGGCTTTCTGAAATTTTTCAGGCCATCTTTCTCAGTAGCAAGGTATATTTCACTATCAATCTCCATACCAAATGTATTCCTTCCCCAGGTTTTCTAAGCTAGACCTATTCTCAAAAAAAGAATTGTCATACAGTACTTGTATTTTTTTCTATAATGGAAGAGGATAAGTATATTTTCTTGACTTCCCTTCTTCTCAAAAATGTAGGCAAACTTTGGCACAGACTTTAAGAAAAAAAGATCTTTAGGAAGAGTCTGAACTGGGGAAATTTTAGCCCTGAAGGTGAGACCATTAACAGTTCTAAATTATGAAAATAAGATTTAGAATAGATTTCAATAGAGGGTCACTACTACAACAGTCTGTATTTCTCAATAGCAATGCCTGCAAGCCTTGGCTTTATCAACTCCAATAAGCTATCCAGGATTGGATCTGGTGGCCTGGAAGAAAGAAACCCCCAATTCCCAAAGAAAGCCAATGTACTGATGATTCTATAAGAATGATGGGTGCACTTTTCCTACTGAGCCAGCTACTCCAACAACATGTTAGAATGCCCGTTTGCTGAGACATACTTGTGAACTTCTCAGAAGTGAAACTATATGCTGTGGCTCAGCCACAAGCTAAGAGCTTGATACAGGAATTACTGGGTGCATCTATACAACATGCTTTACTGTGCAGTAGAGAAAATTATTGTATAGTAAGCGTCGATGTCCACACATGCAGACCCTTACTGAGCAGTAATCTGGTCTACTCTGCAGTTAATTTACTACCTGCAAACACAAGTACTGTAAAGAAAATAGGGGAGCTGGGGGCTGGGAGCTCCCTGCTGCTGGGGCAGAGGACATTGTCCACCACCAGAGCCTGACCTGACAGCAGGCAACTCTGGGAGGCAGGGAGAAATCTCCCAGCCCCCACCAAAAGGCAGCTGTCTCCTGGACCCATGTTCCCTGCCAGCCCCTGGCCTAGCACCCAGAGGAGCCTAGAGCTCCCTCTGGCTGCTGCGGGGGGCCAGTGTAGGGCCAGAGGGGGTAGAAGCAGACTGCTGCCAGGAGCAGCAAATCTGCTCCCAAATGGGCGCACATGTAGATGCCTGTGTAGGGTGGGTTTACATCCAGCAGCATTTGCACATGTAGATGTGCCCACTGAGTGAGATTTTCAGGTCTGTCCTATACAAGAGATCTTACTAGATGATCCCTCTTAAATCTTTGAAAAAAATGAAGAGAAACCCAGAATTTTCTATTTTCACTATCCTTTTTTAATGTAGTGGATTAACAGCAATAAATCCTTGTTAAGCATTCCTAATGAATAAATAAAATAACATTAACTTACTGTCTGTTTACTACCAGGCAAACGAACATCCCAGATTAAAGATAAACATTATAGTGTGTTCACAGTAGTATTTTATATTTTGCATAAACCCTTCTTAAGGAAATGTATTCTACTTTTGCTACCTGGGGATTAGCCTCTTTGCATGAACAAGCAATAAAATACAGGGCCAATCCTGTCTCATCATGACGTACAATTCTTTCAACTTTGTTTAGCTTCTGTGCTAAGCATATGTGACCTAACAGCCATAGGTTAAGTTTATAGCAACCAGGCTGTAAATACTGTCTCATTCACACCTGATCTGAGAAGATAGTTCTTGGTTCTTTGCCCTAAAGTGAAGAGGATAAGTGCTGCTCTCAGCTGCAAATCAGGAAAAACTCCAGTGACTGCAGTGGAATTACTTTGGATTTGCATCACTGTCACAGAGAAGGACTTGGGTGAGGAACTTAGAAACACTAAGTACACAGGGTGTTATAAGCACCTGCTGTTAAGAAGAGTATTCCATTACTAAAAGCAGATTTTGTAGAGCTTTGTTTGGTAGGCCCTGGACATATTTCTGCAACTCCTATAGCATATTTTTAAAGGGAGGGAAAGAAGATCAGGGAGCTCATCACTGGATGCAATGGTGTTGGATTAGGGTGCTTATCCTACAGGGATTGTGTGGTGCTTTTGCAGGTGGTATGGGCAACTGGATAAACATTCTTCCCATAATGATGAATGCGCTTGTTGGAATGCTCTGGCTCCTAACATATATTAAGAGCCCATAGCAAACTAAAGAGAGAGAATATTTGGATGAGTTGTGCTTCATGAAACTTTGCTGTCCCTATCAGTCCTCCAATATTTTAAAGAGACAGTATTCTACAGCCAGGGAAGGGATTAAACTATTACATTTTGAAATGAACTTGCCAAGATCCTATATCTGTTTCCTTATGTGTGCTAGTGTCCCTTCTGGCTGTAATCAGAACTGTTCCACTGTAGATCATAGGTCTCATACTCCTAACAGCAAATGGGGAATTCTCTATGGACCAAAATGGAGCTGACCTTACCAGTTCCACAGAGTTTTAGGAGACAGATACATAGCTAAAGAGCCTGAGATGTCAGCAGTGTTCATGGAGAAATTCAAGGCTTAGTCTAGATAACAATCACTCTTCCCATAAACATTCTGCTGGGGTACAGTGGCTTGGAACAGCTGGCTCCTCCTGTCCCCAAAAGTTCTGGAATTCTGTCATCTAATGTGATGACTCACAAGAGACTAGAATATTAGTCACTTTACAGGGATACTGAAGGCTTTTACTCCCACTTTCCTGGCCATCTTTCACCAAATCCTGAACCTCCAGCATTGGCTGAGAACAGATCAACAGTGACAGCTACCATAATGCAGTGAGTTCATTTAAGAAATATTGTTTGAAAAGAAAATAGGCATTTTTTCTTTAAAGTTCTAAATGGAAGAACTCTTTTGCAAGGATAAATTGTATTTGTATTTAATAGAAATGTGTGTCTATCTACTGCATGGTATTTCTAGGATGCTGCATTATAGCAGTTAAGCACCATGGATGTTCAAAGAACCATGTTTGTTTGGCTGGATGATTTATGAGTGATAACATACTCCCTATGTCATGTTGATCAGTCTATAGCCTCACTCTACTTGTAGCTTATGTTTCTGTGCATTACACATAGGTGAATCTCACCAGGTCCGGAGGTTAAGTGCCAAAGCCCAGAGATGATATCCCTCCCCGCCCCCACTGAAGTTGATGGCAAAAATTCACACTGACTTTAGTGAAGCCAGGATTCCACCTTATAGATTTTTTCACAACTATCTGAACATGCTGGCTGGATATCTGGAGCGTAGTTCTCACGAAACATGATTTTTTTGAAAAATATGAGATTGAAAAATGAATATATGAGCAAAAAGGCTTGCCTGTCTTTATTTGACTTTTCTAGTTTGCCTATCTCTGATAGTCTTGCACTCCAGTTTACCTGTCTCCTGTGTCTGGTATTTTTACATTACTCAAAGAATGAAGGAAAAATGTAAAATATATAAACAATAACAATAACAGTCAACAGTGTGAATTTTTATACCATCATTCAGATATATGGTCTTACACTGCTTTTTGAACACCAGTCTGTGTGGCCTTATAACCTTTCCCTGTGAGCTGAAGGACAGCATGATATCTAGTGTACGGTTCAAGAATACTGTGGCTGTATTTCTGTGTTGAGTTGTCTGTCAGACCTTGGACATTCCACTTCTCTGTGCCCCAGTTTACTTCTCTGCAAAATGAGGTTAATTATATTTACATCCCACACAAAAAGCACCCAGAGCCATAATTAATTTGGGTCAAATCATTTGAGACCTCTGAATGGAAGGAAGTACAAAAGAATATCTCAGATTTGTAGAATGCCTTCTGCACTATGTGTTTAAACAAGACACTGGGAGAATTTTTTTACTGCTGAAATATAGCACCCAGGTACAGGTCAGAGAAGTTAAGGCACCAAAAGATACTTTGTACATTCCAATTTGCAGGGGAGAGATGGTCAGAGTATAATCACCAAGTTTTGAAATGTTTTGATTTTTGAAGCCGGGCTTACTTGGCTTCAGCAGTGGTCCCAGACGGCAGCAGCAGCCTCCTCTCATCCGGCACATAGATCCAGGAGCTTGCACTCCTAGGAGGAATCTAGCACAGCCCAGTAGCCCAACAGCCCTCCTGGGGATGCGAGCCCCCAGATCTGTGACCTGGATGAGAGGAGGCTGCCTCTGCCACCTGTGACCAGTGCTGGGCATGGGCTGTGCCCTGCACCAGAGAAAATTGCTGCTGCTGCCTGTCCCAGGCAGCAGCAGCAGCCCCCTCTCATCCAGCATGCAGATTCCGGGGCTTGCACCCCCAGGAGGAGTCCGGCACAGCCCAGCAGCCCTCCCAGGGGTGCGAGCCCCTGGATCTGCGCCCCAGATGCAAGGAGGCTGCTGCTGCTACCTGGGAGAGGTGGCAGCAGCAATTTTTTCCAGTGCTGGGCACAGCCAACACCCAGCACCGGTCCCAGGTGGCAGAAGTAGCCTCCTCTCATCTGGGTCACAGATCCGGGGACTTGCATTCCCAGGAGGGCTGCTGGGATGTGCTGGACTCCTCCCGGGGGTGTAAGCCCCCTGATTTGTGCACCAGATAAGAGGAGGCTGTTGTTGCCAGCAAGTGTCAGGAATTGTTTTGAAGAGCTTGAGGAGCAGTTTCCCAGAAACCTCTGCACCTATTTCCTTGAAACATGGCAGACCTCATGCCCTCGGAAGGGGCTACCCTCCCTGCAATTTTCATCCAAATCAGATGAGAAATGACAAAGTTTTAGGCATATTCATGATTCCCCATTATAGCCTATGGGTGAAACAGCGAAACAGTTTCGACGAAACGAAATGGGACAGTGCTTTGAAACAAAACGAAGCAAAATGATTAAATGAACCACTGTCCCAGCAAAACGGATGTCAAAACCAAATGATGGTGTTTCGCACAGCCCTACTTTACATCTCATGTGAAAGACAGCACCTCCAGGAGCCCAGTGTATATCAGTGTTATTTCTCTTCCCTAGTTACATATTGGTTCCACTTTGAAGCCATTCCACCCAGACATTAAAAGTACAAGCCTGTTAAACTAGGCCTAGGAGAAGAATCCAATACATTTACAAGTCACAATAGGAAAAGCAATCCAGGGAGACCTGAAAGAATAAACAACTTAAGGGATCACAGGCAGATGACTCCAGAGTGAAGTCTGCGCCATCTGCTGCAGTGTTAGGATTAAATTGTAGTGATCCTTCCTGCTTTTTCTATACCTACTAGAACTGGCATGGACAGAAGGGCAGAAATACGCATACAAGCAAATTGCACTTACAATACAGTTGAGTCTCATGAAATGGCTACGTAAATATAACCAATAGCTAAGGATTTCGGCTAGCAAATGTCTACTCTCCTAATCTGGTTAGAATAGTCTCCCTGTCTGCATAAACTAAAATCTGCCATTTCCAGCACCTGAGCACTGAGTTCTTTCCAGCTCCCATTTGAACTTGTATGTTGGAACCAAACATTATGCTAATGATCTCCAAGGACCTAGCATTCCTGTTGCTTAGGAACAGAAGTTTCACAGGCTGTGGAAGTAGCATTGAATAGAGTGGCATTGTAGTTGGGTAAATCCTTTCTGCCCCTCCCTTTTTCCCCAACAAGTAATTTCTTGAAATGTTGCCATTTTTTTTGAGGCAGGATTTAGAACTTGCAGGCCTGTGGAAAGCAAATCTGCCCACATTCCTCCTGAACAAGAAGTTTACTTACAAACCTGGAAGCAGGTTAATTCATTATTCAGAGGAGACTAGATAGAAGATGACTGATTGCTGAGGGAGCATGGAAGCTCAGCCAACGCCACTGAAAAGAAGGCAGCTTGTGATGGGGCTGCGGTTGGTGTAAAGTCTCCCTTGGTGTCATCCGGTAAGACTGCATGCAGCACTGCAATCCCTCAGGCTTGTTTAAATGAAACTTTAGTTCTGTTCTCAGCAAGCATCAGTTTATATGTATTTGTGTTGCAGGCTGTTCAACCTGGTTGTTCTGTAGCAATCTAGAAAGTTAAAGGAATTTAAGGGGAACCCTATTTCATGTTTGCTAAATGCAGGATGCAAATTAAGCTAAACCAGCCTGTTAGCAGAGACTCTGTTTTAGAAAGTCAGTAAATTAATCTCTCTCTCAGTAGGTCATATCCTACAACAAAGAAGCAGTAACAGGCTGGAAAGCAGGAAAATGAAAGCCTTCGATGGTTTGCAATGCCTGCCAAGTAGTGCACAAAAGGCATAAAACAAAATATCAGTTGCAACTAGTTTGGCTTTAAAGTGTACCTCTATTTTAGGCATGTCTATACAGCTGATCAAACATGGGAAACAGAACAGAAAGCTGTGTTTTCTCCTGCCTTCTAAACCAGGAGATTTGTGGGAAATGGGTAGCTTAGTATCTGATCCCTTATTTGTGGCAAATCTAAATTGCAATTCATGGAAAGGAAAGATTTATCGAAGGGTTTAATAACTCACTGATTGCTATCTACACAGCACCTCTGCATGTCCAGTTGTATGGATTTGTCCCGCACCCCAAAGAAAGTACCATATCTTGATAGATGCACAGTAAAATTGGCATAGGATGGGAAGGAAAGTTGCTGAAAGTCGGGAAATGTCTGAACAGGAGAGAGTCTGTGGCAGCTAAGGTTAAAAGCGGACCAGAGGTGAAGGCAACCAGGGAATAGAAATTATTTCTGAGAAAAAAGCCTTAGTATAGAAGAGAAGCCACTGCCAGAGGCAGAGAAAGCATGTTTTTTAAGATAGCTTGGGATGGTAGGAAAGATGGCATCTAGACCAAATTATACCTTCTTGGGCACATCTACACACTCATTAAGTGCCATAGTTACCACGCACTGAATTTAGTACTTGGATAACCAAGTATTAAATCAATATGCAGTAATTTGCGCTACTGCACAGTAGCACCAACACATTTTTTTTTAGTGATGCTAACTGCGCAGTAGCCTAATAACACTGCACAGTAGCATACTGATATGGTTTCTGCCTGGCATGCTACTGCACAGTGTTATTAGGCTAATGCGCAGGTAGTATCTCATGTAGATGCACCCCTCTAGCGGGTGGAATACATGCTCATACTCCCTTAGGCCCACGTAAGAGACATCTAAGCTGCAATGTGACATGCTTGGCCCTTATATGGGCTTGTAGAAGATAACAGGAAACAAGGACCCTTTTCCTTGTAACCTTCCTGCTCAAGGACGAACTGCGAGTGCCAAACCAATGCACACAACGTTCTACTCCCACTCCACAGCTCCAGGGGACACAGAGGACACATCTACACAAGACACTTTACCGTACAGTAGACTAATTTACTGCACAGTGGATTTGTCTACACAAAACACTTTACTGCACAGTAGCATAATGTACTGTACAGTAAGCATGCACGTCTACCTGTGCACATACTTACTGCGCAGTAAACCTCATTTATCGCACGTAAATTTGCTACCTACAAATCCTGATCTCCCAGTCCCAGCAAAATGGTCATGGGGCTCGGGCTGGGAGATCCTTATCTCCCAGTGCCAGCTCCGTGGTCATGAGCCGGTCACACAGCTGGCACTGGGAGTTCCCTGCTGGTGAGGGCTGGGGAGCCTGTTCCCTGCCCAGCTCCATGATCATGGATCAACTGACCCCAGCACTCTTTCATGCCCAGGGCAGGGGGTCAGACTCAATGACCTACTGAGGTCCCTTCTGACCCTAACATCTATGAATCCCAGCTGCTACTCAGTCTAATGTAGCACAAAGGACTAGGCAAGGGCTATGACTAATAAAGAGTATTATGAACAGACTTAATTGGAAAGCAGACCTACCCTGCAATGCAGCACCCCCACTCTCAGGCTGTGGTACAATGCTGACTCAGGGGGAACCAAATAGATGATCTACAGTGTTTGTTAAAGGATATTTCTCCCTGTTCCGGATTCATTTTCAGGTTGCAGAGCAAGAATCAAACCCAAGCCCTCCTTTTCCCAGCAAGTGTCAATGACAAACATGCTTTGGAATTTTTATAATTAACAGCTACCACAAAGCTGGGCCCTGCAGTGCCTGAATTTTTAATACCCATGGCTAAAAGGGGCTGTAACTCTTTTATGAAGATCTAAAGAAAACAAGATATGGCTAAACCATCTCTCATTATCTCCAACCACAGCTCTGTGGCTGCTAACTGGTTAATAAAACTGAAGAGACTAGAGAGCTGTTCATCTCATTCCTTTGTCCTTGCCCTCCTGGTGCTGCTGCAGAGTTCTAATGCTCAGTTGGATCAGCAGGCTTCAGGACTGCTGTTTCTCCAAATATGAAACCCAATCACCATGTTACTAGCATGCACCCCTTCAAAAGTATGAACACTTCCTGGGGCCAGATCTTCCCCTAGTAAGTTCACTGCGAGTGTCATGCAGGATGGATGCTGCATTTCAAATGAAGTCATCGTGATCCAGATATATAATAGCCAAAAGCCTAGGATTTTTAAATGTCCCACAAAGTGCTTATCTGAACCTATAGACTCTTAAAGGCCCTTAAATATTTTTATAAGCACAGCATGCAAAGAGGTTTATGAATCTGTTACCATCTGCAGGCAAACAGAGCCAGTTCTTTATCTCAAGCAAAAGTCTCTCGTGCTTTAGCCCCTGAAAGGCACTATGTTCAATCCCTACACCAACAGGGCATTTAATACACTGCACCCCAGAAGATTTAAACTGGGTTAATTCCTCAAGGAACAGCTCTACCTCCTGATTTCTTCCTTAGGCTCCCTCTGGTGTACTGAAGTACATATAGCACTCCTTAATGCCTGCTTGAATTGGTCAACATCAGTTTTATAGCTGCCTGAATAGCTCATTTGTTGGTGTGCTGGCAATTCTAAAAATAAGAAAAACATTTTTGGGGAGGGCCTACTTAGATTTTTTTTTAATTTAAAATTTCAATTGAGTTGAAGAGTCAGAAAAACATTAATTTGGGTCCAATAAAATATTTTTCTTAATCCAGAATGTGTCATTTGAGGGCTTGATATTTTTAATAAGATCAAGAAAATTTGGGGGGAAATCATTTTAATTGAAAAAAGCAAAATATTTATTTCAAAATGCGTGAAAAAATGTTTGATTCTTTTCTGAAATGAAAAGAATCTTGCAAAAATGCAAAAGTCATATTTTTGCATTTTTTAGGTAAATTTACAACAACAAAATCAGGCAATATAAATCAACATTTTTTCAGAGAAGAAATGTTTAACCAAAGAAATTCAGTCAGCTCTACATTAATTGCAAGGAGCCAGGGGACCAGGAATCCCTTCCCCACACTAGTGCCCGAGCAAGAACAGGCAGGGATGGGGGCTTGGCTAGACATGGACACACGGAAGGGGGCAGGGAAGAGGTTTATTCTCTCCCACCCCCTACCCCCGTCCCACTGGCATGGACCTGCATTTTTCCATTGGCTGCTCCAGCAGAGGGGGCCTGGCCAGCCCTCGCAATAGCTTGGAGTGAACTGGCCAGCAATGGGGTTTAATTCCCCGCTCCCTGTCCCACCGGCACAGACCCAAGCCGGAGTCTGCCAGGTGCTCCTGTGGCGAGGGGGCAGGGCCGATGGGACAGCAGCCCCTGCCTTGGTGTTTGGGGAGCGCAGATTAGTTCAACCTAGGCAGATTAGACTAACCTGCAAAGATTGAATCAATTCAGGCTCTGGCTTTTTTAATGTCTGTCCCTAGCCCAAGGCAACAGCACCCTTTTGCTAATCACATACCTACAGAGGCAAGGGAGTAGGGCTGTCTGCCCAGCAAGTGTGCATCTTTTGGAGCTCTATAAGGTACCACCCTGTGCCCGTGACTATGATGAAACAACCCATTCTGTGCTAAAAAGCTCTAAGGACAGTCAATGGGAATATTGTTTCAAATCCTAAAACTCCTGGAAGTTTGTTGTTTGAATCTGTCAGAAGCACTAAGCTAGAACTTGCAGGTCAGACCTGCTCCTAGAGTCACCTGTGCAAGCTCAGGGAATTCAGTAAACAGCTGTCATGGAGAGCAGCCTCAAGCCCTCTAAATCCTCTTTTCTGGGCACCCACCACTTGAAACCCTTTCCAGGGGATCCTGCAACATGGCTTCAGAACTGGTGAAATGCACTGAGAGTGAGACTAAAGCCTTGCATTGTTTCCAGAACTTCCTGGAGGGTCGGTCTCATTTCAGAGGACCAAGGAGGAGGGGGGCCTGGTGCCAATACCCTGCCTCTGAATTGTTTTGGGCTACAGTATGTAATTGAAAGGAGCTGAAATGCCTTATCTCCAGACTGAGCTCCCCCTTCGTGTACTTGCACATGATTAATGAGTAGCCAAAAAGCCTGAAGGGTTTGTAATGAAGCCTTTCTAATGGAGAAGTGTATTGTAGACAAATCCATATTGCTTCCCAAACAATCATTTATCAAAGCTGTGATTTGACTCTTTACAATTAAATGCCAGAGCACCAGGATCAGCTAGAAATTAGCCAGCTGTAACCTGTGCTCCTCGCATCTCCCTGGCAGCTTCTCTTGCTGTCAGTCATTTCCAGTGAGTTAGTCTATTTCCTTTACCACTTGTCCCTATTATTAGTTGTCTTTGATGACCTAGGCTACTAAAGACGTCCTCATGCTTGGGAACCCTGAGAAAACAATGTTTTATCATCACAATAGGCCTCAACTCAGCAATTCACTAAAGCACATGCTTAACTTTAAGCATGTATGTCTCATTGTCAATTACTATGGACTGGATTTTCAGCAGAGTTCAACATATTTCTGACAGGCTGTATTTTCCTTCTGAGCGTTTTAAACTCACATTGTCACCAGGGCATCTGGGTCACAAGGTATTTTGAGAATCTGACTGTAGGTCGCAGCGGGAGCTGCTGAAGGCTTCCACTGACTTCAGTGGGTTTTGGACCAGGTGATTGGACCCAAGAGATTTATATACTTTTATGTGGCCCTTCTGTAGCATCTATTTCTATGCAGTTCTGATGTCTGGTTTAAAAAAAGATGAAGAAAAACTGGAGAAGGCATAGGAAAGAAACTAAAAAAAAAGAAGATTCAAGGGCTGGAAGACATGCCATGCAGAGAGCCTAAGAACTCAGTCTGTTGAGCTCATGAAAAAAGAGTGAGAGGTGACTTGATTATAGTGTATAAGTACCTTCATTAGGAGAAAGTACTGAATACTGAATGATTATTTAATCTGGAGGAGCAAGTCATAACAAGAAGAAAGTCATAATAAGATGAAGGGGCAGAAAGTTAAAGACAGACTAATTCAAATGAGAAATAAAGCATGGCTTTTTAAGGCTCCTGACAGGCATTGATTTCATTATACTATCATGATCAAACAATTTTTTTCCTGGATCCTGAAACCGGCACGTCCTTCCACGTCACGTGTATGGCAGAATGTGCGATTTTTGAGAACAAAGGTAACATTTGTCAGATGCCACTCATGTGCCAGGTGGGTAGGGAGGCCCAGCATCTGGGACTCAGTCCCCAGTGCTGGACTTCTTGCCTGTGTGGATGTTGTAAGGACACTGCAGGAAGTGCAGTATTGGGACCAGTCCCTGATGCTGTGATTCCCATGGCACCCTTTCAGCTTGCTGGCATGCAGAGAACCCATCAATTAATAGGCTTCCCATGTCCTAGCACCTAAAGCTCTTCAATCCCCAGCTGCCAGTGCTGTGGACTGGCTGCATGGATGGCTGCAGACTGGAGATGTCCCCAGGCCACCCTACACCAGCTGATGAGCATAAAGACCTGCCATGCAGCCAGCATCAGGCTGCATGGCTTGGCTTTACCTTGACACACATTCAATTTAAGGCATGATGGAAACTAGACATAAAAATGTTCTGCATATTCTGATACTGAATGAAAGTTACTGTGACTGGTTTTTCATTTTTGTCATGCCATTAATTGTTTAAATGTGTGGCAGGGTTACTCTTTATGGTGTGATTAATACATTAATCACATTATAAATGTAATGTCTGCTAAGGCCCTAAAAAGCAGTGATTAATATTAGAAAAAGCTGCCAAGGGCAGTGGTGGACTTCTCATCTCCGTATGTCCACACATCGAGTTTGGATGCCTGTCTGGAAGGTAGCAGGGGTTTAGGTTGTAGCCGTGTTGGTCTAAGGATATAGGCAGACAAGGTTCCTTGGGTGAATTCGATATCTTTTATTAGACCAACCCAAATAGTTGGAGAATGTCTGGAAGGTATGCTTTAGTCAAACATAGTTTTGGGCTCAGCGCAGCAGTAAACAGGCAAAATGTAACAGCATTGGTAATATCCAGGGAATCAGTTCAGACAGTCTAATGGCTTCTTCTGACCTTAAAATCTATGCATTTCTGAAGCTTCCTGCAGATGACCCCAAACCATTTTTGTTTTAACACATTAAGTCAAACTGTGCTTAGACTGACATCTGCTGTAACACTATTAAAGTCAAAGGAAATTATAATATGTAGATGAGCTGGCTTTAGCCCTTGTATTGTGTTTATTTTATCATTGGCTAAGTGCAGATATTCCAGGTGGTTAGGGGGAGGTTAAATCAGGTTAAAAATAGCCACCCAATCTAACTTAGGTTGTCCAGATGCCGACCTTACACTTAGACCCAGTCTTGGTGATTGGAAATCAATCTAACACTGTAACAGTACAGAAGGTCATGCACATAGACTGGTCTAAAATGGTGGAACCCAGTTTAAAATAGACCTGGATCGATGTACACTCAAACTTAATTGCTTTAGTTTAAACCGGTACATTGAACTTCAGTACAGTTACCTGCACAGACCCAGGGCTGGGAAAGCCCAGGTACTGGCCCCAGTCCCATGGTGACACTTTTT